TCAATTGGTATTTCACTCAAATATCAAATCTAATATAAGGCTGTTAGGAGCCTCCATTTACTAAATGTTTTTAATTTATGAATTTTTGCTGCCTAAACCCTAGTACACACCAGTTCTTTCTCAGCTCAGTTTTTGTAATGGTCTTTATATCTCTTTCCAGTTCATAACTGATACCAGAACAGTACTGTTCACTTCAGTTTCACTATTCCTGTTTCTTCTCTGTTCCTTCCATTCCATTTTGGTTACCTCTAAAGATACAAATACAGCTTAGCATTTTGAAATACAAGGCACTTTACATTGCTACACCCTCACCATATGATTTGATCCTGTGACTATTTCCCAGCTTGTAAATCACCCACCTTCTATATTCACCTTTCAATGTTCCTTCTCTATTCCTCTTCCATTGTTTTCTTAATGTCTTCACTTGTGGCCTCCAGTTTCCCTTAATTATTCTGTTAGTTACATTTCCAAATTTCCTTTGCTTCCCATCCTGCCAGGTAACACTTGTGATTCTCCCTTTAATCTTTCGGAAGGTCAGAAAAGAACACTTTCCAATAAGCAGTCTGAAGCCTTCAGAATGCACATTTGCCCTGGAAGCCATACTGCCTTTTGCAGACAAAAGCAGAGATGCCAAGAGTACTTCTAGAAAGTGAAAACACAGGCACACTTGTTTGATACCCAAATACCATCATCACTTCCCTCAGAGATTAAATGGTGAAAAAAAGTCTAGACACCAGCTAACTGGCCAAAAGAGAGCTGGAGAGCACAGACCCCAGCCATTATTTGGATAGCATGCCTGAAACAGATATTTTGGTCTTGACTACAAGAAGATATGAGTGAAGGGAAACAAACTCCAGATTTAAAAGAAAAAAACTTCCTGCAAAGAAAATGTGTGTATGTGTGGAGAAATTGCAATCAGATTCATGCATTGTCAATCCAATATGCCCACAAACAGCATTACATTAAATTGCCACACACATAAAGATCCTGTAACCACAAACTTAGGGCAGTACAGGCCTTGATGAAAATACTGAATGATTCCCTGATATACAAGCAAGTCCTAGAGAAAGTCATTCAAGAGTACTAACTTATTTCAGAAACTCCTTTGATGACAATCAACAAAACAAAATTTGCAGAAAAATAAAAACAAAATAAACATTTCAATCAGCAAAAACAAAAGAGCTGAGCTTTCTTCTTGCAACCATGGAACAAATTTGGGTGAAGTCCTGACAGAGTGTCTGCTGACCATCATGTAATCACACACCAAATAACTCTTTAGAAAGTCATACACTCACAATGGGAATACAAATACCACCACTACCACTCCCCAAAAAACAAAGAAGGAAAAATAAATAAAGTAAATGGGAGAGAAAATCAAAGTTCCATTATAAAAATTACACAACTCAATGATGGGGGTAATTTCTCTTAAATCAGAAAATAAATTCTAGGTTCAAGTTCCCTGAAGGGTATAAAATATTAAAGCATGTTTTATGGCTTAATCACAAACCCATTTCTCCAGCCACTACTGGCCATGTCTAATTAGGGTGAAGTATGTTAATGATAGCAGAACAGCCCAGAGACGTCTTCAGTTGTGATATTAATTGCATTTAGGGAATGAAGCGTGAATTGTGCAGCTAATTAGTATGGGTTTGCTAATTAATACTGGAAAGTCAAACTGCCTTTGTCTTGTCAACTGCAATTAGCTGAAGCTGTTTAATTTCTTTTTTCCAGTAGTAAACTGATTTTTAGCAGAGAAATAATTGAATCATGTGCAGCAATACACTATGCCAGTTAGCTCAGCATGTCTATTACACTTTCTGATACAGTGCATTTCAGATCAAGCTAGTGCACTGTCAGCAAGCTGCACATGCCACCACTTTTATAGAATTCTCTGGGGCACATGACTCCCTGAAATAGGGCCCCTCTCCTTTTGGCAGCTTATAGCATGCAGTCACTCTAGTCCAGGCCACAATCCCTATGCTCTAATGCTGCTGCAACAGCTTTGACTTTAATCAACAGTATGTCCAGAATGAATTATCTACCATGGGCCCACAGTAGCATACCCACAAACACCCAGTCAAACCCACTGGGGAGATAACATCTGTTATACCACTGAACTCCAAGCACAGCATTTTATCTCCATCGCTGAAAGATAACTATTAGCACTCATTAAGGTGGTTGCAAAGATGTCACCTGCCTAGCAGCTTATCCCAATCAACAGCCCAAAGACCCACTGGGCTGTGTGATAGTACTTGACAAGTGTTTATTCCATTTTACTTACAGCCATAGACTAAGCTCATGCACTCACTCTCTGGTGAAAAGCAACAGTCTCACCTGTCAGAACATAGGGTAAGAAGCCACCTTTTTGTATCTTCCCAGCCACAGAAGTTCAGCATCAAACAAACAAGAAGTAGATCACAGGTAAATAATTGGGAGGGGGATAGAATGGGAAGGGAAGATGTAAGAAGTGTCAATTTAAAATGAGTATGAAAATAAAGCCACCCATGTTTCTCACTTGGAGAAACATGTCAGGAGAAAATGTTTGTTTGGTAGCAAAGTGTGATGGGGCTGATAATACAACCCTTTGAGACCTCAGGTGGCCTGAAATGGAATGGCAGCATCTAAAGGAAACATTACCTTGTCATCCCTAAAGAAATAAAAGGAGTGACACATCCCTCTCCAAGAGGAGGATTTATTTTGTTGAAGGAGGGAAACCATTTGCAAAGCAAACTTCCAGTTCTGAGAGGAAAGAGCTACAAGTCAGCTTCCCTCAACTGGGATAGGAGGGTGGGAGAGAGAAAACAGACTGTATATCATGCTAGGGAACAATTTTCTCAGGTTTACTGAATGAAACTCGCCAAACTAAATAAAGTCCATACCTCAGCACTCTGCAGTCCGTCCTTCAAACTACTATAATCTAGGGCCAGAAGTCAGAAGTCTCTTCCTACCACAATGGTATAGGCTCTGTGAGGATAACCAGAAGATCTCCAGTGTTTTGTTAAATTAAACCTCTCCAAGAGTGCACAATGGGCACTGCTTAATCCTGTATCCTCCTCCTCAGCAATAGGGCACAACAGCTTTTCACATATAAACATAAGGAACTAAAATTTCCCAATCTTATCCCGTGTTCCAAATTTATGCAATTGAAAACTGGAGCCACAGTAACTTCTGAAATTCTTACAACACCCCCCCCCCCCAACCTTGAGGAT